CATCTCAGATATGATCCAAAACTGTTCAGGTTTGGTCATTACATTGTACCAGTTTGCCAAGTAACACATGGACAGAATCTGGGAGTACTCAGTTTGGATAGTCTGCTTTGTACCAGCTTTCCAAATAGAGTTATGAGTATCCCTTATACCCAGATTTTGAGTTTTCCAATATGATCTTTTGCCCTGGTAAACATTCACAAAAATTCCCCTGTCCAATATAAGCAGCAGAACATAAAACATATGGTACTACCACTATGATGTGGCATCACAAATGAAAATCTGTAGTTAAAATGATGAGAAAGACGCTACTGCAGAGGGAGGTGAGCATATGGCCTCCTTCCTTCAGACAAACTGCAACTCTGCTGATTCCAACAAGACCCATCAGCATATTCCCATACAGATTGTGTCAGTGGTGATCCCTAATTGCATTAGTAAACACTACTCCTCTTTCCTCATAGGAATTAAGGTATCCTACTTCTTGGGAAATGAGCAGAAAAAAACAGTTTTTTTCAATTTTGATATGCCATTCAACTAAAAATGAGATGCAACTATTAGGGAAAGCTTTTTTAAACAACCTCCTGCACAATATCATGGGATCCAGCCAAACAAGTGCAACTGATAACTTCCTGACTTTGAAAAACATTACCTCAGACCTATGCCATCTGAATTTCTATGAATTCTACAAAGTTACACTGCTTGTGTTTTGTGCAGGGGAACTACTGTATACTGTTTGGGAGAGTGAGTAAAGGGTGTAAAAATATATATTTATATTAGGGAAAAAAACCCTTTCTTAGCTGTACCTGCATCAACAATAATCCTTTCATTAAGGCAGCGTTTGGAAGGGGAAAGGAGGAGGAAAGATTGTGTGGATATACTTTTCCCCAAGTAACAGTTATTAATAGCCAGGAAGGGCTTTCACCTTCCCAGTATCCTTACAGGACCTTGGCTTCAGTAGTACAAGGTCCCACATTCAAATGCGTCTCTGGCTGTACCTACAGTACTGAGTAACAGGGAGCACCAGTACGTTCTCCAGCTACCCTGGAAAGTTTCCTGCCTATTTACTTTTTTCCCCTCTATTATGAAATGATGGATGAGAGGAAAAAATTAAGACAGATATCCTAATGCAATAGGATATATTGAAACTGAAGAGAGAAACTTTGGAAGACTTGCTAGCACCTCTCAAGTACTTTATACTAAAAATTTTTCCATCTTTTGCCTTTTTCCTCATAAAGTACATGAAACATCACACATGCACGTGAAAGTCTCATTATATTTGTTAAGCAAATCAATTATAACATTAAGGACATCATCAGTTACAGTTAGCATGTTAATCTAAAATTGTCAAAAACAACAGAAAGTGAACAACATTTAAAAGCTATTTTTATTCATTATCTTTATTTCAAGAGATTCATGTAAAGAAACACAACAATTTATACTTTATATGCTATTCCATAATGTGTCATGCAGCTGCATTAAGAAAGAATAAAGGTTTAAATCAGCTATCCTATTATTTAATTGATTTAATATTAAATCTTTCATCCCCAGTTGGATAGCAGATACATGAAATACTGGAAGAAAGTTCATCCATTATCCCCATAAAGACAAAAAAGTGCTTTTTATGTTGGTCTAGGATGACAAACCTGATTCCAAGTCATATAAAATACAAAATAGGCATTATGGCTGAAAAAAACATGCCAGTGAATCTATGATATTTAAGTTCAGAATAACAGATCATCACAAACACCAAATGGGCCAAATAACAGCAGGATCACAGGACTCCTCAGCCCCGTCACATTCTCAGCCTTACTACAACGAGCCAAGTCATCTGGCAATTCATCAGCCTTATAGTGACAGGTTGGAAACACCACAGGAAGCTTGTCATTCATTCTCCAAATTTGGGGTTTAGCAGCTAGGAATAACTTTGCACAGAATGCTATCAACCATCCTACTGTACGAGTGTAACACTAAGCTAAGCATTTAGAAAACTAAAGACTGACAGAGGAAATTTATTATTTTTATTTATACATTTATTATTTTTAAATGCCCTAAATAAAAAAGAACCCCTATCATCTCACGAACCTGCCAGAGGCCTAGGAAGAACTTTTCTAAAATAGCATGTTTGTGTATAAGTTAACATCATCTCAGTGTAACAGCCAAATGTTAAATAAGGACTTAAAGTCATGTGAAGTGATCACGCTTCTTTCCTGGAAAAAAAAAAACAAGTGTACTGTCTGGAGCCATTTGTCACTTCAAATCAAGTGACCAAAGACAGCCTGTCTGCACCAGCTTTATGAATGGCTTGTGCTTAAACATTACAAAAGACAAACTTTGTGATCCTCTTTTCCTCAGAGTGTTTTAATACTACTTCTGCTAACAGACTCACTGGCAGTACAGGGGGCAGCAGCCATTTATTTTAAGAGTCTATCCTCAGCTCCAAGGTTTTAATTAGGTAGGGACAGAGAGAATCAAGAACATTGCACCTATATTCTTACCCTTTTGCCAACAAAGATACACCACAGCGTATGCACTGGGATTAATCATATGTTTATTACATGCTTTCATTCCCTGCTCTTACTAAAAAAATTCCTCTCTGAATTCTTGATGAGCCCCAGTTAAGGCTCCCAAATGGCTGCACAACCTACCAGAATTATGAACACAAGTTACAGGGGAGCTTCTAAACCTGGCTGAGAAGAGAAGCTCATGTCCCAGCTCTGGGCCAGTCACACATGAGACAGAAAACAGGGTCGCATGGAACCAGGAGGAACTTATCATTCCACATTTTCCTCTGTGGAACTACCAAAAATCAGCAACTTCAGCAAGGCTCCCCAGGAACAGCCTTTTCTTCAGATGAAGATCAGAATCACTGGTACCAGGACACCTCCCTTTAAATACCAGGTCCAAAGTATTCTCAGATCCAAAAGAAAAGAACATTTTATTCTGTAGTTGAACAGTTGAAGTTGCTTTTGCAAAAGAAAAAAAAGGTGCAAAACACAGTGCTTTAAAAACAGTTCCTCTATGAAAAGTCCTAAAATTTATACTGTCAAATGAAGGCCCAGAGAATGCCGTTGTTCACTTTATTGGGAGCACAGATAGTGGCGGCAGCAGTAAATTACTACTTGAATGTTAGCAACTTTTGTAAAATGCATCTCCCACCAGTCAGCTGAAACTTTTACCAGAAATGGATATTTCATTCAGCAGTGAAGATAGCTTCTTCCCAGTAAACATACGCTGTGTGCTCTGTGCTTTTTTTTGCCTTTGGAAGGTAGGTCTGCATACTTGACATTCATATTTAGGTATGGACCCCAATGAGACCTCTGCCCAGGCCTGCTGATGAAGATCTGGACAGAGCAGCACAGTCACTCTGCTGGGTCTGTTGTAACAGATCCATTGGAAATAAAAAAAACCATTTTGCCTACAAATGTTAAAAGCCACTTAAAGTCCAATGCACATGCTTTGTTCCCTCTAAAAATGCTGTTGCTTCTGACATTTTTGTTTGGCCATCAAGTGGTTATCTGTTCATGATTCTTTGACCTAATCAGGCCATCTTAGACAGGATGGTATATCAAACAAGAAGCAAATACAAGAAACAGGCAGGTTTAAGCAAAAAGACAACATCTGTGCAAAACTAGTACTAGCTCTGTAGCCCAATCTCACAAGGCCAACTTCAAGTTACAGCAATAACTAAAACCAATGAACTATCACAAAAGGAAGTATTTCCCTCTGTACATGATTTTTATTATTTACATAACACAATATAGCATTGTTGCTGGGTAGCATGATTATGTGCAATACATAAATATGAACTATCTGTACATGTTTGCATATCTAATAATGCAACTGAGAACAAAGTTAAAGCAAAAACATGATGCTTTCAATAGTGAAGTAGAAACTAAGACTGAACACTGCAGTAAAAATCAGAAGTAGCGCCTTGTGCACATACGTAACTATTTACAGATGACAACAGGCATTACCACAACACTAGTCTAAACTGTACTTGTTTATATAAAAAACACAAGTTTCATACATCACAAAAAACCTTCCATTATAACACAGAAGTGATATTACCAGACAAGCGTCAGTGAAGTTTACTGCCTTTTCTAGAGTTGTTGTTGTACAATGCTGTAGTTAATGCAGCCCATGCAATACACTCAAGAACGCTACAGTCCTATACCCAATTACAGCTAAAAATGATAAAGCAGTCCTCCAAGAGTGGTTCCAGCTACCACTTAAGTCTACAGCAGCCATGTTGGGTATGGCTTTCCATGCATAATGCTGCAATGTTTGGAGAGAGAAAAGCTCTTACTGTTCTTTTATGTTCGATGTACCTGGGCTCAAGTAGTAAATGAAAAACAGAACTATTCAAATGCTTCTCCAATTTACTCGGAGGCATGTGTGTTGCTTGAGCTGCTGTGGTATGTCTAAAAAGAGATGTAGCTTTTGTTTTGTAAACCAGTCTTACAATACTGTGCTACTCAACATTTTTAGCTACGCAAGGAAAAGCAGACAATTCAGTTGCAGGTCAGTTGATAAGTTTCTTACAACACATTTCTTCTGGGAACCTTATTTCTTGATTCTCAAGTTAGTTAATTGGTTCCAAAATAGTTCTCTTGCCAAACATGCCCAATTTTTTCCCACTTCTCCCACTGCAATTGTCAAGAAAATATTTCTTAAATATGGCACCAACACTCATCTCAGTAGAATATGGACTCTTCTACATAGCTGACGTTCTGCTGGAAAACAACGAAGTGTGGAAACTAAAGTCAGAATGACATTTTACATGATAGAAGTAGACTGCCAACCTTTCTGATGTGTTCTTCTCCCAAACAGGCACATAGCACTAGCCAAGGTTTATATACTTCAAACACACCTCAAAAGGCAGATCTGCTGCAAGCATGCAGATAGTATACATCTGTTTGGCACATACTTTAGGTCATATGTCCCCTGTGCATGTGTATTCCCATGCACATTTTGATCATCCAATTATATTCTGAGGGGGGCTGTACCTATTCAATTCTGCCTGTAACAAACACCCAAATGTTCTGAAATATCATTAAGACAGACAAGACTAAAAGTAAAACTTTGGAGAACATCAAAGGAAAATGGCCATGCACCTGCTCTTTAATGTTTTCCTAGGATATATTAAAATAAAACAAAGTCAGTCAGTCTTTTCACAAGTAGGTTAGTTTATATTCTCTGGATTTTTTCAGCCACCACAACTGGGTTCTCTTTCCTGATTTTTGCTGCGGCTTCTGCTTTGTAATCATAAGGGCAGTTATGCTTGTCGGAATAACGGTGAAGTCCACAAAACAAGTTTCCACATCGACAGTCAAATCCTGCACAAAGGAGGGGAGAGGGAGCAACATCACTAGGAAGCTTCAGATACAAGCAACCAGTACATTAAGTGCTTAATCAATACAGATAAAGGGTTATATGTGCCTCTACAGACCAGCAGAATAGAAAAGGTGATACTTCCAAAAAACAGCTGTAATAAGTGGTCTAGACACTGCTGATTTTTAAGAAGGACATAAATCTAATGCCTATAGATATTTCAAATTCAACCTAAAACAGGCAATTAACCACACAGACCTGATCAGCATTTAGAAAGTGTTCTCGTACCTGTAAGGCCAACCTTCTTTCTGCACATGAAGCATCTGTTCTTCTTTGGTTTGGGCAGCTCAGGAGCTCTCTCTTCACTCTGTGAAGTACTAGGTTGAGAAACTGATGGACTTGGTTGAGTAATAACTGTTAAAATAAGCAAAGAAAAGAGAAGTTGAAGTTGTTCTTGACGTCCCTAACTATTCAGTACCAAGCATGCGCTTATCAGTGATAAAGATTGTCTAGAGCACTTGGCAGAACAGCTTATGAAACGTGAATCAGGAATACAGACTTTTAGGTATGGGACTAACTTCCTGTTCGGCTTTTACAGAAGGCAATCAAATTTTCCCCACTGTTTTATCACCTAGAAAATACAATATCACTATCAATCACAGCTGCACAGTGGTTAGTGCCTCCAGATTTTCCATATGCATACAATCTCATTAAATCATAAAGTCAAATTTTTATCTAAAAGAGTAGTAATATTGACATAGCTCAAGTTGTTGAGAAGGGATAGCTGTAGAAAATGTAGTCAACAGCAAATATTTGCCAGGACATTCCTGGCAATGTGCTACTGTCATAGCACAGGGTCACAACCTCAGCCAACCAAAACAACAGTTAACTTTCTTGAGCTTCAAAGCCACTGACTCTGCGCTACATCTAGAACACAGCTACAGCTCAAGTAACCTCTCTGAGTTATTTTCCAGTATTTTAAAGAACAAAGTAAATACTTGTGTTCTACCATGTTCAGCCTTAATATTCAAGCTGGCATAGTTAAAATAACTCATTTTTTTAAATGCCATTGTCATGAACACCTTCAGTCAAATTTGAGATGTGTTTTAAGTAAAAAGTTCTCTGCAGGGTAAAAATGTGTCCTTTCACTCTTGTAAATCTGTTCTAAATGTTGTTTGAAATATTTTTCCATCCAATCAAAAATTTTTAAACCATTCTCAAAATCTAACTAGCATAGAGGAAAGCTTGAGGGAAGTATGCTTGTATTCAAACCTGTAGAAAACATGGACCATGCTCCTCCATAGCCTCCCTGAGCTCTCCCAGTTGTATGATTGTAGGTGTTGCTTTAACACATAGAAAAGCTACCAAGCAAATTCCAGATTAAATTGAGGACATAAGCTCAGAAGTCTCAACTGTAATCAACTTATGCACACAAGCAGGATTTCTTAGTTGAGATCCAAAAGGATCAAGTATTAAGTCTTATGGAAGCTTCATTTTTCTAGACATGAACTACTAGTTATGTGTTTTCCACTTTTAATATTTATGTTTTTAAAAAGCCATTTGTACTGTCATCATAAAACAGTTAATACTAGCACCTAGAAAATCCCAAATACCCAATGTCCATTTCAAAATTTATTGCAGAAGTTAATTACCAGTCAGGAGTTCCAAATTATAACCTGCATCTAAAAGCAACAAACTTTCAGAGCTAACAATTTTCAGTCCTTGCACCCTAAAAGTTTCCTATAGTAGAAGAATGTTTTCTAATATTTTCTTATACCTTACTGCAACATTACCTGTCATAATGAACCACTAACACCTGCTTACTACCTTTGGCACATTTTATATAACCATTCTTAAATAAATAAACAAAATTTTGAAAGTCCAGACTGAATACTATTTTGTTAAGTCTGATGATAGCAAACTATACAAACTAAAGTATTTTGTATCCAAAATAGTATAAATGCTTGTAGGTTAAAAAGAGGCAAGCATTTTAATCACTACTCATATTAACACTTTTCAGAATAGTTTTAATTTAATCTTTTATTTTCTACGTAGGAAAGCAGTGTTCAGTATTTGGTTAATCTAGTTGCCAGCTGGTGATCAAATACTAGCTTAGAAGTACCTAACACTAAAATAGCATAAACCTGCTCAGTCACCACACATGTTGGCTGGTAGGTATTAGTTATGGTATTAAAACAAATATAAAAAACTCCCAAATAATTCTCCCAAAACTCTCCCAAAAAAGTCAGACCTAAGTTCCTTTTAGATTTGTTAAAATGCTACTTCAGCTTCATTAGAACCAAATAATATGAGCCTTGAAACACATTTTTTTCAAGCAGATGGAAATAAAATGGGAAAGGAGGAGGAAAGCAACAGTGAATTAACGAATTTTGTCACAACATAGCACTTAAGGATACAATACACACACACACACAAAAACGAACAAGCCCACCTAGATGAAGATGGTATCTGAGAGAAATGTCACCAACTGCAACATACATTAATTCTTCCTCCATATTAACTGCAACAAGAAATGCTTACTGCCACAACCAGCAACGTGGGTACAGGAAAGTGGTGACGGTGATCCCAAGAGTGAGAAGGGCCAGTTCACGTGAAAGCTGTTGAACAATATCCACTCCCTTCACCACAAATAAAAACATGTTTCAGCACAGAAAGGCAGCAGACAGCAACCCAAAATGGGCAGTTGGAAGGTCCAAGACAAAGATATATTGGCACAGCTGCCATTCAAAAAAGAATGTTCAAATTATTACTCTACAACAGTTATACCTCAGAAAGGAAACATTTCTCACTTATGCCAGAATTAAATCTAATTATGAGTTATTATCTTAAACTTCAAGTCCCTTCTGATTAACAACTAGCAAAGCATCTGCCTATCATGCCCTCTTAAAGCTTAAAGAACATTTTTTCCCCTAACCATGGCTCTAATGAAAAATATTTTAAATGCTATTGTTCTGGGAAGACATCAGAAGACAATAGAAACTCAGACACTATCCTGACAACTGCTTGTCACAAAAGAATAGGCTTCCTATGGGGCATATAGGCCAAATCTGGCTAGCCAACCAGAAGGACAGTCCAGAATATATTTAACTCATTTTTTGTCAGAAATCCTATGGCAACAAAATCAAAGTGGTCTAAATGATTGTCATCATTGTCATATTATCACCATGTAATAAATCACTGGACAAAAGCTTAGAAGAGTGATAGGAAAATTGTTGTTACTGATTCTTCCAGACCTACTTCTTTAGTACTAATACCCCTGTTGGGATGAGGAAAACTCCTTACCACTAAAATTGATGCCATGACAATCTTAGGGTTCTGGTTGGCCTGTACTCCTCCTCTTCTGCATCTCCTTGGTCATTTCCCTTCTCACCCACTGGCTCAGAAAACTACCAAATTACATTTAGTTCATTTCAGTTTTAACAAACCAGCTCTCCTGCTACAAAGTTGAAAAACTTAAGAGCAACAGATTTTCAGAACTGAGAAAATCTGTATAACAATTGAAGAAAATGCAGAATAGTTATTTTTTAGTATACTGCACAAGATACAGCATTTTCAGGAGTAACAAAAGAGGAGATTATCCTAACTCTGACATAATAAAACTAATAATTCTAGTATTAGACAAGTGCCTGATGGCAGGGGGAGCAGGGAAAGGACAAAGGACAAGTACCAAAGTACCAGATGCTACATGGTAAATTCAAAGGCTTAGTTCATGTTAATCTGAAGAGGAGATGAATTTTTAAGAAAGGCATGGGGGAACAGCAAGGGGACAGCAACTATTCAACACATACAGAGGCTGGTCCTACAAACAATGCTGCTTTTTCACAGCAAAGCATTAAGCCACAGGTACTACGACTACTCAAAAGTAACAGCCACTGTAGTAGCCAAAAATTACAAAATCAAGACCAAAACTAAATGTATTTTCTTTATACAAATGAATTTAGCAGCTGCAAAAGATCATGCCTACTGTAGTCCAACATGAGATTTATGCTAGAAAGGAAAGGGACATTCTTCAGTTGGATGAGACTCAGTGACAATAAAGAGAAAAATCTCAACAGTGCCCATACTTAATGCAAACAGAAAGGTCTACCAAGGTAACAAAAAAATTAGGAGTTCCTTCTGTGACCAAATTATCCAAAATAGAAACCTCTCAGTTTAACAAGGCACATGACTTCCACAGTACTAGTAAGCCAGAAAATATCAGGCAGTATCAAGTCATGACAATACCAAAAAAAGAGTTCCATAAGTTTGACAGTGACATCTCCATTCCTACCAAAGTAAAACTGAAAAAATATTTACAGCAAAGGAGGGTACCTAAAAAGAGAACCCACAGGACATCAGATCACGCTTCTGCAACACCAGAGCATAGAGGTTATGCTACAGTTGTGTAATCCTCATTACATTGCAATAATACAAACTGGCCTGTATATAAATTCTAAGTCACTGAAGAGGACAGACACTATTTATTATGTAAGTCAAGCTTCTTTAAGATGGATATTTTACTCTTCAGAAACTACAATTCCTATAGATGTTCAGGATAGGCTGAAGAGTAAATCACTGAAGAGTAAATCAGTTTTTAATTTTATGTCAAAAAAGAGAAAGCTATTTTTCAATGCTTAACTAATCTCCCACATGCCTGACAACAGGCATATTGGATAACCTTACACCAGTATAATGCCAAGATATTTCTGTTTAAATATCATACAGCTTAACTTGGTCATAAAGACTTCATGTCTGTTGTATACCCCTCTATTTAATAGAGGCACAATAACATCTTATCAGCAAGATGCACAGCACCAGCAGCTGCACCTCAGGCTCCCTTTCCAAGGTGGACAGTTTCAAGGCTTAGAAAAGATTACTGCTTCCATTTCAGAATCGCTTGAATCGGGGTATTCTACTCAAGCTTCAGTGGGCATGGGAAGCTTGAAGAGAACTATTCTGAACACAAGACAACACTCTTATGTCAGATGGCCTACAGAAGGCAACAAAGGCACTGCTTATAGACAGTAACATGATTAAATATTACAGCAATGTTTAGAGATGAATAAGGCAGTTATTAAAACAGCAAGAACTAAGTAATATCATCTATTTGCCCCCTTCAGCATACAATATAAGATGCCAGCATTAGATGTCAGCAAATTGCACAGAACTCTTATCTGCAACATACACTGCACACATGGACTGAGGGCAACCCATAACCCGCATGGGTCTCAACCTGCATGCAGGAGAGCCATGTTGTTTGACATTAGTATAACTCTGATCACACTGGCTTGAAAAAGAGCCAAAAGACAGGTAAGCTGACCATCATAACCTCCTGTCTTCTGATGCTCATCAAATGCCAGCTTTCAGGAACAGAAAGGGTACCCTACAAAATGAGTGGAGTAAGACTGAAAGTTAATAGTATGTGGGGAAGATTTTTAATATGTAGCTTACAAACAGACACCCTGATCATTTCAAGTTCTGTTTTACTTCCTTTACTCTTCGACAACTGTGGCTTCACAGAGTAATACAGTAACTTGTCACACTACTCCCTAGAACGGTGTATTCATTGGACTAAGTAAACCAAGATTCTGATGTGCCAGCTGATACTAATTAAGCCAGGAAACAGACAGACCTGAAGGATGCATCATTCAGAAAGGTAGTGACCTATAAAGTAAAAAAAGTGCTAAAAACTTGCTATGACTCAATACAATATGATTAAACATATTTGCTCTCAAAACAGTTTTAGTGTGTAATATTTAACTGTTCTCTTTCTTGTATGGATCCTTTATTTCCACTTGAACACCACTAAAAGGAAAGAGATTGTTAAAGAAGGCCTCCAACTATGTCTTTCCAGCTCAGTAATATTATCACTTTGACATAGTAGTTTAAGAAAAACAAGTTAGCTAATTTTGTATTTAATTTCTGTAACTCAGTGTGGAAAAACAAAACAAACAAAAACATAGCTATGCACCATATTTCATGCATGCTAAGATTTCAGAGTGAGGTATATTCTGACCTTGGTAAAGACTGTATTCAGTCCTTAATAAAAAGCTTGGAAGCATAGCAAATCCTGTGAAAAGTATAATATAACCAGTACCAATTTATAAACTGGAGTTTTGACATAGAGGTCTGTAGATTTCACCAACTTGTTAGCAGCACATCAGATAAGCATTTGGACTGAGCAGAGGTCACAATTCAATTATAAAAGTATATCATGTGAGAATGTTGATATAGTAAAGTAAGTTACAACAATATCTAACTCATTTTAGACATGCGTATTGCAACAGGGCCAGTTAAGTCTGTCATTTTAAACAACAAAATGACAAATTGCATTAGGACCAAACTTGTTTTGAACAGGGATTCAAGTTACAAACTCAATCTGGGGGAAAAAAAAAAAGAATAAAAATCCTGTTACTTCATTTTTTCCTCTCAGTTTCAGCACCCACTAGAATCAGACATTTAAGTCGCAACACCAGAAAAGTATACTCTAACTCCAAGATCAAGAAAAACCCATCTAAAAAACAGACTTAAGAAAAAGCCACAAAACAAGGCACACGCAAGTAATCAACAAGGCAAAAAAAAAAATACAGCATTCTGGCATGCATGGGAAATATCTGAAGTTTCATTTGCTAATGAAAAACTTGTAGGAGAGAATAAGCCTTCATACCGGTGCAGATATTAAAAGGAGAGAATCCTACATTGCCTGAAGGCTACATTGTTTGTACATGATTTTCCCATCTGACCGTTACAGAACTCAGCTGCTGTGGTCAGACTTTCATGAGTTTGTTTTTAGGGAATAACAACTCATAAAAAGCATTAGTTTTGCTATGAGGTAAAACAAATCTACTCTTCACTTATTTTAGCTGTTCCTCAACTGGTCTCATCAAGACACCAAAGCATGTACGAGTTATAGAGAGTAACAACTTTCCATGAGTTGTATACTCACTGGAAAAGATATGCAAGTAGCAAGGACAAAATGGGAATTTTTAAAAATAATAATAAAAAAGCATTTAGGCCAGCTTTCCTCTTGACTGTAAGAGCCTTACTTGTAAGTGGACCAAGGAACATAAAAATACTTGGTATTTTTCAGATGCCAGATAAACCCTTTGTAATCTAAGAACAGTACCTAATCTTGCAATCTAACTTCCACCCCATACCCCAAAAAACACCTAAAAAAAAAAAAGAAGTCTGCACTTTCAGAGGAGCTGCAGGTGGACTTAAGAATTTAGGGGTGCATACTGAGCAAATTTTCCCCCCCGTAAACATGTTTGGAAAGAACTTCCAGAATGTAAGCATGTTTATATTTGAGAGTAGCCTTTATGGTGATCTGCACACAAGCCTTAACTGGCTTTTTACTAGTTTCAAGTTTGCAAATAATCTTACAGCTGGAAACTCAAACATAAATATACTTCTCAATATGAGTATTATGTGACTATTATGAAATTGCCTGGTTAACAAAAAAAGATACTAGGTCAACAGCAGCACAGATGGCCATTTTATATCCAACAGAAGTAATAAACCCACATCAACAATTTCAATAAAACATAAGCCAACTGTTACTTGATCATTGCTATCATTTGCTGTATTTCTTTTTCCTGCTTGTCATCTTTCTAGGCAGGTATTCATAGCAAGACAATACAGGTTTATAAATACTGTATCAAAGTATAAATTATTTCTCAGTTACATACAATAAGCTATTCAGATGACATCAGTTACAAAAAGCAGAAACATGTAAAAATCTCCCCTCACTCTGCACAGACCCCCAAAAAAGAAAATAGTATAACTGTATTTTAGTTCATTTCACAATCTTAACTTAGCATTACTTATTTCAAATATATATAAAATCTGTGTACAAACACTGAGCAAGAAGTCAGCTGTTACAACATTTTTTACTGCTCAAGATAAACCTAGATAAACAATATAATATATGGACGAGTGGCAACTTTTGGAGTTTCTAACTTACCGGTTTTCAAAATTGAAAAGAAAAAGAGACATATACAGTGTTTAAAGAATGTTTCAAAACTGCTAAAATTAAAACACAAGGGTACCTACAGGTACAGAACAAGCATGTTAATATATTCATTTGAATAAACTGCTGCACAAGAAAAAACAAATCCAGTCCTTCACTACCTATAGATAAAATTCTTTGTGCTTCCCTCCAAGAAATACCTTACACTTCAAAGTTTAACTACCACAGCTACAGCCTTCTTGTAGAAGATCAAAACTCTTAAATTCAATAATCTAAGCATTGAAAGCCATTAAATATTCCATACTTGCAGAGCTAGGATTTGGCTATATCTACTGGTTATCCAATCAGTCTCAAGGACTTCTGGCAGTATTTGTTTAAAATATTAACAAAGTATTCCCTTCCACTACTCTAGCATCCCTCTGTAAAATGTAATTTAATTTGGTACTTTGTTCTCTAAATGCAGCAAGCTATTTTGACTGCCATGAGTCAGCAATAATTGTACTGATAGATGTTACACAGAAATTTCATCACTTTCACTTTGGGACTGAACATCTTGCCCAAATGCAATTATTAACTGTCTCACTTGTAAAAAATAAAGTTTTGAAGGCAAAAGTACCTTCACAGGCATCAGATTCTCTGCTGAAATTGAACTGAACTTGGAAGTGAATTCTATCTGAAAAATATATTCTGGCACTAGTAATTTTTCTCAAACTCAAGAGTACCAGTGCTCAAAAAGCATTCACAATAATTATCTTAACAGTTCCTCAAGACTATCACCACAAAGGGAGATGCCTGCTTAAAAAAATTAAGTGTCAGTTTCTATTAGGTCACCAATTGTACCTGGTGTTACACCACACACATACCTGGTTCATTCTCTGTTTTTGGTGGTATTTTGTCCTCTTTTGAAATGCTCATTTCTGTCATTTGCTGCGTTACAGGCAAAGCGGCAACAGGCACGTTTCTGTTTAAGCACAGTTAAACAGGTTTAAGCATTGGTTTTGAGTTCATAATAAAAGCTTAAATTGTCTAAGCCCATCTCTATGAATCAAGTACTCATTCAATTACTACTTAGAAACACGCTACAGTTCCTCATCTTGACTTCTGGTATATATAGTGTGCATTTGGCACTCTGCTTTCAGCTTCCCTAAAAGAAAATACTCAATATGTAGAGTGTATTTTTCCAGATACACCAGAAACATCTTTGTAACTGCATTAGTGAAACAACCACTATAATCAGTTCTTATTTACAAGGATTATAAAGCACTGTGAGGTGCTCTGCCCCTCCCCACCCCCACCCCCCCCTGCAGAAACTCAGTGTACCAGGTCAATATTACTTCAGGTCTTTAATTTGCTGCACACTCTCAGCTAATTCAAACCTTAAAATAATGCTTCATCTTACCTTGACTTTTCAGATGTGCTGCCAGCAGCACCTTCACAGTTGTTTAAGCTACTCTCTGTTCTTTGTACAGATGCAGAGTCTGAGGTAGGACTATTTGAACCACTGGTTGTTCCTGCATAATATGAATTCAAGAAGTTAATTATGAGCAAACTGTAGTTTAAGCTATTCAAATACACTTGCATACAGTAATAAATTCTTAATTAGCAAATGTAAGAATTTTATAAGAATGCACTGATATGCAAGCTATGTAGAACTGAAAATTAAGGCTCAACACCAACTCAGATAGAATTTATTACAAAGGAATGCATTTTCATTTTTATTTTGTGTATTATTCTCTAATATTTGTAGCCTTAGTACACAGTTCTCAGAGGTTCTCTATAATTGTACTCTGATTCCTCTCTTCTTTGTCATCTTTTCAGAAAAAGATTTAAACCCTTACCCATCGGGCTGATTCTGTCACTATTCTGCTGTCGCTGAAGATGTTCTTTGTAACAAACAGAACACATCCCATTTGTCCTAGGATTTCCATAGAATCCACATCCTGTACTACAGAGCATGGGCCCTGGGGTCTGGTTTGTCTCCTGAGCCATGTCAATCCTGTAAATAAAACCAAGAACTGCATTAGGAGTTGGCGTGTCACCAAAATCAATTAGAGAGTTACAGAACAAAAGTATACTCACCCTGCCCACCAAAAGTGATATCAGCTTTTTAAAAGAGCCATATTGATGTTAATATACCATTCAATACTGCAATTATGTTGATGAGCAATATCCCCATGGACTTAAAAAAACAGGTTATCGTAGTTATACGGAAAAGTAACATACTTTTTGGACACCGGGCTGTGTGTGTGGGCTAGGATCAAGTTCAATTTATCAACCAAAAGCTTAGTACCATCTCTGAGCACTTACAGAATAGGAAAAACATACAGCTAGATGAGCAGAATAAGAAAGATCAGGTTTGCACCTACTGAACAATCTGGCAGTTAACTTATTTTTTTGTAAGCCCAACAGAATTCCACTTCAAGTGATGCATCATTTTGATGCTAATTCTATTAATTTTTATCAGTACCTACTTTCAAGATATACTTTTTAAGCAGAAAGATAAAGATCACTGAAATATGGATAATAGTTAATTTTAAACTGTATTCCTACCTTTAGAAGCAGATTCTCAAAGACGACCCTCAACTCTGCTTAAATTACGTGTGAAACTTTATACTGAACATTAACTGGCAACAACACATGTTAAACAGGCCTTCATAGTCAAATAACTTATTTCTGAAATAAATTCAGGGCTGATCTTACTCTTCCAAGAAAAATAAAACAACTTCAGGCTGATAAGCACATTCATTTACACAGCCTATGTATATCCAAAAAGCCAGTTAAATTCCTTGTATCAAAAGTCACAGGATGCCTCCCAGAAGCAGGCAAGGCTAACACTGTCTCTCATCAACTGAGAAGTGAAGGAATAAAAATATTTCACCTTTACTGCCTGTTAACCTCTGCAAAGCAAGGTTATTAGAAAAACTGATAGAGCAACCACATCCTTGATTCCCAAGGGCAATAGAACTGGAACAGAGTAATCAAGTGATCTGCTACAAATTGAGGACATGTAAGAATATTGCATTTGTCCTTATATTCAGTAGAAGCACTATATGAGTCTTTGAAGACATATGGTTGAAATCTCTAGACTACTATTTTTCTCTTTAGGAAGACCAATGGATATTTGACTAGAGACTCAGGAGAGCCCCAAATACATGGGATTCAAACTGACTCCAGTGTATGCAAGAAGGCTATTCATAAGTAAAATTTGCCAAATTGCAAGTGTAAACATAACTCAATAGTACGGCAAGTGTAACTGACATACACACACAAAAAAGTTTTCTGGGATCAAAGTAAATCAGCAGCAGGAGGGAACAAACAAGTAGAATTAATCTGCTGCTTGCCTGCTGATGGTCATGGGACTCCAGCTATTTATACCCACGTTTCAGGATGAAAAGCAACCTCACTTATTCTGACAGACCTCCCTGCAAATTGCAGTTTGGCAGTCACACACCGGTCAAGTCAGTCAGCAGAAGTGACAACTATATAAATCTGAAATCTAACACATTTCATTGTATCTCAGCTTTATGTTTCTGCAATAGAGACGGAGATTGCTCTGTCATCTTCTAAGTGGGTAAACTCAAAGCACTATCAAATCTACTGTCTCCAATCTCAAATGACTCGCTCCACTTCCACATTACTAGACTGTAAACATGTTTCTCCACTTACTAAATCTAGCTATAGGTGTTAACGCAGGTATTCACATCTTACAAACAAGATTCTCCAGGCCTCCTTTGTCAGCACATTCTCCCACTACTTGAAACACCTGCCCCTAACCGAAAGGTCAAGCTGCTGTTACCCGCTGGTTACGAAATTGTGCTTTATCACGCTCTTGAATGCCCAAGGATCACTTATGTCTCTTCCAAGAGCCTTCATCACCACCCGGAAAACAGTTACGCACTTCCCTGTACTGATTCTAATAAGCAGGGCACCAAACTAAGCTCTTTAATCCTTGGAATGAGCAACAGTGAAAGCGAGGTCTGCACCAAGGGCCGATTAGACGCCTCTCCAGCCCCTCTCACTTTAGGAACTCTCCCGCTCAGGACACAGCGACTCTCCACAGCCCTCTCGCAAGGCCGTTCCCTGGAAAAGGGGCCTCCGCCGGGAGCGCGGGGCGCGTCACGCGGCGAGCGCCTCGGCTTCCGCCTGTCACACGGCTGCAATGTGACAGGCTGAGCG